AGATCTTTAGAAAAAAGATCTCCATTTTTCAAGTGTATCATACCTGTTTTGGTAAAATAACTATAAAAGTTAAAATACTCATCAAAAAATATAAAATTTATTTTGGTAAGTTCACTGTGATTAGAGGATCCTGGAAAAAATATAAATTTGGTATAACTCATTAAAAATAATCCTAATTGTCACCAACCCTAAAAAATGAAATAAAATTAATTTAGAGTAATTATAAATATAAATGATATGAAAATGAATTATAAATATAAATGATATGAAAATCATTCTCCACTGTAATTTAATGTTAGAGGAGCTTCTCATAAAAATTTCAAGTCGATTGGAGATAATTTGACCACTCAAATGAATTAATCAATATAAATCAAAAAAATATGAAATTTATTTCTTTGGGTTCCCTGGACTTATAGAGATTTAATAAAAATATAAAAATTAATTTTCTAACTAAACAATATTTTATATTTAATTAATGCTCAAAACAAATACACAATTATAATATTTAAATTAAACCTCTAAAAATTATGAAAATTGGTCCCATGTTCTCCTCTGATGCTTTAATTAACCCATGGATGGGGTAACTTAAAACTTTGTTCTCCGCTGATGCTTTAATTAACCCATGGATGGGGTAACTTAGAGCGGTCCATGACCTAGGTGAACCTCTAATAATTTTCTTAATGACAAAGGTTTTGTTTTGATTGAGTTATTAAATTTTGATTGAAAAGTCCCTATTTTTGTATTAAAAATAATTATAAAATTAAATAAATTTAGAAAAATCACATGTTCTCCGCTGATGCTTTAATTAACCCATGGATGGGGTAACTTAAGACTTTCAAGTCATTTGAATTCAATTTAATGAATTATAGGGTATCAGGGCCATAGGAGCAAATAAGGGTAATTTTAGAATTTAAGGCTTAATTAATATTTAGGCTTAACCAAAGGGCTAAATGGGCAACAAATGATCTTAATTGATATGTTTTGATGATTGAAATATGAAAGGAATAAATGATAGTAACTAACCTCACTTTGGTCTTGTAAAGGATAAATCTGTAATTTTCTTAAAATTAATGAAATTTGGAAGAATATTTAAATAAAAAAAGATGTTAATGTGAGGGGTTTGATTTTTGGAAGATTATAACTCACTGATTTTTAAGCCCCAATTAATGGTTTTGAAATGATTTATAATTCAAGATAAGGATTAAAGGTATAAACATTTAAATCTTTTACTAAAATTACAAATCTACCCATCAATTTTTAAGGGCTTAGTAGTGAAATATGCTTAACCAAAATTTTGTTTAATGAGGTTTAGAAAATAATCTTTAACTAATTTAAAACTTTTTAAAAACACTACAAGCCCATCTTTATAATCAAAGTGTTAAGCTCCTTAATTAAACCAAATTGCCTCTAAAGGTCTTTACCTATATAATTTATAAATAAAACAGCAAGTGATAATTACCCCCATCCTTAGGGCTAAAACATCAGTTCATTGAGCATAAGGGTACGATAAGGATGAATTATTAAACAACATAATGAGTTTGAATAAACTTGGGACTTTTCAAGAGATTGTGAGATGTATGGGGCTTGGTCCCTAGACTCTTCTCATACTCTTTCGGATATCTTGAAGTATGATTAAACTCATTATGCCTTGCTTGAGAAATTATCTATACACTTAGATAAAATGGACCCATTAGGATATGACATAGGATATGGTAGACACACCTTGAATTTGTGCTTCCTTCTTTTTCTACAAGCATGCTTTAATTCCTGCAAAACTATATACATATGTCTTGCAAGTACTGAACTTTCAGGTGGTGGAACGAGAAGACTTGACAAGTACGCCTTTATAGTTTACAACATCTTCTTTTCCTGTACTTTATTTACTGTACTTTTCCTGCTCATGAACTTGCATGTTAATCAATGATGTCACCCTGCATGTCAAAATTAAAACTTTTAGGATAGTCAAAGAACTAAAACCAAAACAAGAATATAAAAATCAAACAAGATAAAATTCACCGTCACAACATTCAAAATATAAGACAACTCAAAATTTAATCACAAACATAAAAAAAACCAAAATTTCAACTAAATTAAAGTGTTTCTATCTGATAATCGGGAATCCCTCGAAGGAGGTAACCTGCGGTAGCTAACGAGATTTCCCATGGTCTAAATAAAAGTATGAAACTCATCAAGTTGAGTTTAGTAAATTTATTTAGACTAAGTGAATCTGAAAGAAAATAGTGGTGCCAGAACGAGGGAACCGTAGGATCCTAACCGGTGTCGCTCTAATCAACTTTAATATCCCCCATAAAATTTAAATAACCATAACCTTAAGAAATAATTGATTTGACATCATGACCTGACACACTAGAAAACGTGACTTCTAAAATATGATATTTTCCTCATCTCCTCAATTGACATTTTTAAAACTAAAACTTGTTATTTCATCGAGGAGCTTTGAGCTTTCCTGTGGGCAGCATTCTACGGCAACGATCTACAATAGCATGACGATCTACAACAGCATATCTTTTCCTTAGAATTAAACAACAAATCCATAGGACTTCGAGGTTATTTTCTTATGCGACATAAATCCTCAACTCATCTTTAAGCCATTGTATAGCCCTGTTATGCAATTTAAGCCCTAACTCGCTTTAAGATCCCAAGGTTGTAGTTCGTTACGACCTAAATTCTCACATCTTCCAGGCTATTTGTGTGATCTTTTCACACGAATGTAAGCCCTAATTAATAAAATTTACGGGATGAAACACTTGAATAATTTCTCTTCGAAGCTGAAGCCAAACAGTAGGCTAGTTTTGGGAAGTCACCGAGGTTCTCCTCAGGATCTATGACATCCCATAGTTCTTCCTTCTTTGGATTCCAAAAATAAAATGTTCTAAATTTGAGTCATTCCCCTTTCGCACATATTTGTCTGATCTCGTTGAAAAGTCCTACTCTTTGGAACTCCTTGAAGATAATATCCCTTGATTTTTATCGAGAGTTTTCTTAGGTGACTTCGGTTGTCTATGATTTATCTATGATGTAATTAGCTATAAAGGCTTGCCCTTATAGGAAGCATTTCAAACGGCACTTAATTTTAATGTCTTACCCGACTGTAAAGTATTAAATAAGAGAACTTGTCGGCTTATAATAAAAATGATTTTGCAGACCAAACGGATGTCATACAATCATTAGTTTATTTAATTGAGTCTTACCAGTAAGTGGTGTGTTTATCCTTCGGGATGGATACATTACTTACGGTATTATACTCGTTTATTTAAACTATAAGGGATATGAGATCGGTCCGGTCTTGTATTTTCCAAAATCCAAAATACTATTTTTTTTCAAATTATATAATTAAATTATATTACAACGGGTGGTGGGATATACATCATAGCATAAACTATATTACAACGGGTGGTGGGATATACATCATAGCATTCGACAACTTCACAACTCCCAACTTTTTAGTGCCGACAGACGTGCAATAACATGATCATTATAATGCCACATAGATCTGTTAAATTGATCCTAACAATAAGTCCCTAGATATTAAAGAATACTAACAAGATAAAGTTGCACACAAATGCACTTTTATACCATTACAGTTCATTTATTGAAATTTGGATGAAATAAGCATAAGAAGTTCAGATTGATTCAACCTACCACTCCCTTTCATCTCTAAACCAAAATAATTTGCATGTGAAGGATTTATTTGGTTAGAGAATGCTTTGAAATGGCATATGAAAGAGTAGTTAGGACTTAGAGTTAGAATTTATGACTTGGGAACTTGGGAAAACTTGCACTGAACTGCAAACTGAGCAGGGCAAGTGATAGTGAAAGTGCGAACTATGAAGAGAAACTGCTCCAAAGTCGAACGACGGTGAGTGAACGGTGACAAACTGCACATCTCCCTCTCCCTCGAACGCGAAAAGGCCAAGAGTTGAACAGGGCTTTGGTTTTTCCGCTCGTGACAAAGGACAGTAGGGCGATACCGCTTAATTACAGTATTCTGAAAATCAGTAATGAAATAAGGCAAACCGGTTCGCCAATCCATAGGTGGAACAACCAGTTGGACCCGTTCCGAGCAGATCAGAGATCAAATTGATCTTTTAAGTGGCCTAGATCATATTGGTGATCGGTTTACGATTAAATCAGCTAGTCCGATCCACTTTTTAAACCCTTGTATCTAACACTTAAATTTACTTTTTTTTTTATGTTTATACCACCTAAATTTAATATTACAGAAAAAAAATATCATCATCTTAACTATATATATATATATAAAGAAGATTATATGCAAGTAAGAAATCCAAATTTAAGATATTTAAGCACATAAGGGCTGTTGAACGCATAACTTTCTAGAAAATATCAATTGCATTGGAAGTTTTTTTTTCCTTAATTATTTTAAAGTCATAAAAATTCATTTAATAAGTTTTAAGGTGTCCTTTTAAAAGAAATAAAAATAATAATAATAACAAAAAGAAAAGACGTATCCAGAAAAGTTACACAATTATCACGCATCTAACCCAAGAAAGCTAAAAAAGTGAAAAGAAAATAAATTAAATAAAAATAGAAAACCCTAAATTAAAAAAAAAAAAATTCCCTCTCTTCTCTCGTCGTCCCTCAACACAGCCCTTTCCTACCGTTATGTTTCAGTAGAGAGAGAAACTACTGCGCCACACTGAGTCACACACCAGGGTTCCTCCAATGGCTGAAGAAATTCTACCTCCCGACGCTTACGCCCACAGCCCCGCTCACTACTTCATCGCCGCCGGCGACTTCCTCCGCCTCCGCCGTCTCCTTGATTCCCTGCCCCGCCTCTCCCATCCCTCTACAATCCTCACAGAGTCAGACTCCCTACTCCAATCCCACCTCGCCGAGAAAATCTCCTCCATCATTGACCGCCGAGATGTTCCCCATCGCGACTCCCCCCTCCACCTCGCCGTCCGCCTCCTCCCTCTGTCGGCTGCCACCACCGCCGTTTCCGCTCTAACTTTCCGCTCTAACCCCCGCCGGCGCCGACCCCTCCCTCGCCAACTCCTCGGGCTGGACTCCCCTTCATCTAGCCCTCTCACTCCGCCGCCGCACCCTCTCCGTCCTTCTCCTCCGTCATCACCGCCTCTCCGCGTGGTCCAAGCTCCGCCGCCGCCTCCCTTTTCTCCTCCCTGCTCTCCGGCGCATTCCCGACTTCCACCTCCACATTTCTATCCGCTTTGAATCTCCTCTCCTCCCCTTCATCCCGCGATCCGCAATCCCTTCCGATGATATTCGCCTCGCGAAAAGCGCCTCGGATCTTCGCGCAGATCGTCGCCGCCGTTTGTCCTTTCTATTCCTCTCCAACCCCGATAATCCCGATCTTCCTTTTGGTTCTCTCCTTGTTCTCGACCGCGATCGAAAGGAGATCAGCGACGCATTTGATGGTGCAGATGACGAGACCGAGGTCGAGGCGATGGCCGCTGATTCTACTGCCTATCGCCCTGGGGTTGACATCGGTAACGCTCGCCTGGTTCCGTGCACGACTTGGCGCCGTCGAGAGAGGATGGAGACAGTCGGGGAGTGGAAAACTCGTGTCTATGAGCTTCAGAATGTGATATTTAGTTTCAAGACACTGGCCGCTTCTCTAGCGGAAGAGGAATTGCCTGAGCTAAAGCTTGATGAAGATGCAGAAGAAGGGTTTATTGTTGCGGAGCTTGGGAATGTGCCTGCACGGCATAGCTGTTATGAGCGAGGGGGGTTTGGCCGTGCGGAAGAGATGGAGATGGGTCGGCGGAGGAGTGTGGATGCGGTGGTGCCGGAGAGATTTGGTGTGGGGAGTTGTGTGTTGAAGAGTAAGGAGAAGGAGGTGGTGAAGAATTTGAAGCCGACGGTTTGGCTAACTGAGGATTTTCCCTTGAAGACTGAAGAGCTTCTGCCGATGCTGGATATACTTGCAGATAAGATTAAGGTTGTGAAGCAGCTCAGGGAGCTTCTCACGACCAAATTCCCACCTGGGACTTTTCCGGTCAAGGTAACTGATCTGAACTTTGAAAATTTTTGCTTTTTATTACCTGCATTGTCGTTTCATCTTACGAGAACAGAACTGTGAGTTGCAATTTTAGAAAACTTTGTTGGCTTAGCCGATAGAGAATTGGTGCTTGATTTCATTCCATCACATGGGACATTGCAATGGCTGGTTTCAGCCAGCGAATTTTTTGACGATAAAATGGTGATGTGGATTATATGTTTGATGAATGGTAAATGTTAGAGGATCTGCAACGGGAAAATGAGTATAACCAGGGTTCTTGGTAGATTATTTTTCACTATTATATGTGCTGAATTGTTGCTATTAGAGCATATGGAGGTAACATGCTACCAAAAGCTTTGCTAGCTGTAGATATTGAAAATAAAACAGCTAAAATGGAGTTGCAATATGCGATAATGTGGGAAGAATGGTCCAGTTTTGAGAATTGATTTGGGTAAATGGTTGGCAAGGAGAACTATAGAAGGGATGTCCCAGCACATCTATCTCCTATCAAGGCAAATTCTGGGAAGTTGGGATGCAAATGAACTGAGAAAGTGCCTGCTTGAGCCAGAGCTTGTTTAACAAAATAAATGATTTTTAATCGGGCCTTAATAGAGCTTTACTTGAGCCCTACTCAATCTTTATACAAGCAGCTTGTTAGAAAAACTGATAGTCAAAAAATAAGTATTTAAATGATAATGTTTATGAATGTGTAATCGAGCCTTGATCGAGCTTGTCACGAACTTATTCATAAGATTTAGATGATATTGTTTATGAAAATAAATAAATTAAACAAGTTGTTCAATTTTTTTTGTAATCAAACACATATGGAAGTGATCAAACTCGTTTTATTTATTATTCAAACAATCATTAACGAGCTTTAATCGAGTCGAGCCACGAGTAGTTTGTCAAACGCTAGGTTCATCTACAACTCTATTAGGAAGGGATCCATAGCATAATAATTGGTGGGGGAGCCAATCTTACTGTTGCATTATGGAGTTTTGTCCCATGCTGTTAAATTGAATCCTCCAAATCATTATGAAGGAAAATTAATCATTGTTTCAGGACCACGTCCCTTTGAGTGAGAAGGACTTGAGTGTGTCAAATGGCTGAAATCATGTGATTTGGGATTATTATGAGATTGACAGAGACAGCTGGTGCAGCATGATGGGTATTTGCATAAATAGAGACTCGTCGTGAAGTTCACTATATTAATCTGAAGAATGTGGATATGCTATGGTGATTGAAAGGAAGACCAAAATGTAAAATCATGAGTGGCTTTCTATATAATTAGTAAAAAAATTCAATTTTAAATTGTTATTTATATAATTAACAAGCATTCCATTTCTATGTATTTATATCACTAACTCCTAAATTTTCATATTTAGGTTTATAACACTATGTTTTCATAAATTTATGCGTGAAAATATGTATTTCACTTAAAAATAAGTGGTAATGGTTTTTTCGACGTGATGCTAACGATTTGAGTGCTATAAATATAAGTATAGAATTTTAGCTGGTAGATGTGTGAATACATAAGTATGTATGTAAATGCCCCTTCTTTTTAAGTTTTACAAATTGTCCATATTTTAGGATGAAGCCTATTAGTTTGCCCATTCCCGCTTTGGACGCTACTGTTTTGGTGGGCCTTGGTCTGCTTCTGTTATATTTTGGATATATGTTAAGGCATTGGATAGAACCACGGTTAATTTGGCATGTGCCATACCTACCAGACATGAAAGCAAATATAGAATAATTCCATGGTTATAGCTCACAAAGCACCCTACTTTTTCTAGTTTTCATCTTATCACCTCAAAACATAGCTGGAACTGAATTTAGGTCTACCTTTTGCACTTTTGATTTAATTGGCACTGAATATTTTTATGTAAAGCACGGAAGGGATTTTACGTACTCATATTTATTTAGATTTTGATTTACATTATTTTCTAAAGCAGTATATTTAGAATTTTTATGTTTGGTTAGGCTCTTTTAGGTTGTCTCCTCTTTTCAGTTGAAGTTACCTCCATTTTCATGAAGACAGGATAGCACAATATTTGTTATTACTTTCATGGAAATATGATATAGTATCAGTTTTCTTTTTGTTAGCTTTTTTTTTCTATTCGCTGATGTTCCGTTATTTGAAACTAGAATTTAGCATTTGTTATTACTTTCATGGAAATATGATATAGTGTCAGTTTTCTTTTTGTTAGCTTTTTTCTCTTTTCGCTGATGTTCCGTTATTTGAAACTAGAATTTAGTACTCCTCTACCAAATTGAACGAATTTATAATTTTCATAAGATTGTGATAGTATAAAATATTTTATTTCTTATCGGTGGATGCTCGTAAATTCGCGGCGGTAGAGTGTTATATTAATGTCCTATTATTATGTGAAGATTAGGCACACAAACATATAAAAAAAAAAAAAAAAAATGGAAAAAGAAAAAACAAAAATTTTTTCCCGAAAAAAGGGTAAAAACCACGAGGTCTAGCCTAATTAAAACGACTCAACTATGTCGAGGTAGGTTACAAGGCTTTATAGGTCGTTGAATAGTCGAAATAATATTACACAAGTAGGGGTTCCTAATGTGACTTCTGCTAAATGACTGGCGGAATATATTACGAAGGTAGTGGCGACCCGATTGTTGTGAAGGAAAACAAAAAATAGAGATAATGTGCCAGAAAAGCTGATGTCAGTGTCGTCGGTAGCGACAACCCGACAGTGGTGGTCCACGGTGGCGGTAACTTGATGATGATGGTTCTGCAGGAGCGATAATAGTGGTCGGCAGTGGTATTTTGACAGCAAGGGCGGCGATGGCGATGGCGATGGCCAAGCAGAGCTAGTCTAGAAGGCGATGGCAATGACTAGAATGCATGGTCTGGTAGCGGCAATTGTGGTGGTCGAGTTGTAGTGGTCCAGCAATGGCATAGCCAGACAACTGTGATTTGGTTGTGGTGGCAGGCAGACGAAGGGGGTCTAGCGATGACAACGGCGGGCACGGTGGTTCGGCAGAGGCGCGGCCCAATGATTGTGGCCCGACAGTGATGGAGCTGAGGAATCCTGGAGAGCTTGGAGCTACTTCAGCTTTCTCCACCAATTCTAAATACCCCTTCAAGCAGAGAGTGACAATCTATTAATAGATTTTGAAAGTGGCATCCTCTGTAAATACTGCATAAATCCAAACCATTCTATCAAATAACTAGGAATGATTCCTTTGACCAGATGTAGTTATATGAACATTTGAATGTTTTAATATTGTCAGAATTCAGTAATAGTAGTCTTGTCGGATTCATCTTGTTGAGACGCTCGATTTGACTATATACTTACCAAATTTTGAAATCAATTGGTCCCCCAAAATATATTCGTAAGCTTCTCTTTATACTTTAAGTGCATGATCTGGGTTCACTTGGACTCAGATCAAATTATTTTGTCATTTCTTTTATCTCACCGAGATACTTCATTTGATCATAAATTAGAGTGTAGGTATTTTCAAATTTGATATTTGAAGCTTTCAATTCAAATATGCATCGAGATTCGTGTGAATTGATATGATTTTTTAAGGACGTATCACTTATAAATTAGGTATATAAGCATTGTCATTAAAAGAAAAAAAAAACAAAATATTCTGGCTCATTTTTTATTAGGATGGTCTTAATTTCACACGTGACGTGTTAACATTTTTAAGATGTTATAGATATACTGATTACATTTAACGGTTTTAATGTTTTTTTTTTTTTTTGGTCATACATTTCACAGGAAATGCTTACATTATTATTTAATATATCAGCAAATCTAAATCTCATAATTTCCGGCAATTTGAATATAATAGAAATTTCACCATATTTTTAAGCCCATTGCGATCGAAATTGGGTCATATTATACTCCTTTAAGGATGACTGTTGAGCAGGCATGGCATTCAACGAAGCAATTGAGGTGTTTTGATAAAATTATTCTTGCCTTCCTTGATAAAATTAAAATATGACACCCAGGCACCCATATTTTTTTTGTTTTGGATTGGCTTTAATGCTATAATTTCAATGCTACACTTGTAGATCTCCTAATCTACTAGACCACTGATCAAAATTAAAGTTTCTGAAGAAAATCTGCAGCTATTGAATTTTCTTAAGATATTTTTGCTTCTTTTTTTAACCGTTTATGTACTTTTTGGTGGTGTTATATATTAGCTCGGTGCATCACAACCCATGCAAATATTTCCTATGACATCCTTGCTGTTATGAAAATTCCCTTGAGAACGAATCTTTTGAGGTAAACTGAATAATATAATATGGATCTTTCTTCTTTCTCTCCTCTCTACTATTTTTTTTCTATTTGCACATTATATTTTAGAGGCATTTACGTATATATCAGTCAATTCCTAAATATTTACATATCTAATATCTAAATTTTACATTTTGCATTTATATCACGCAAAGCTTTCATATCACAGAAAAAGCACCACTATTTTAATTTTAAAGTGAAATACACCTTTTCATGCATAGGTAATGAGGTATTTATGTAAAAGTTGAAGTTTATAGGTTAAATATGTAAATAGGAATTGAGTGGTATGTGTTGGGATTGATTTTGAGCATATAGAGCTTCGATTGGTTTACAAACAAAAACCACACCGTGGAATAGAATCACACAAATTCCTGAAATCCGGAACAAAATATTGAACAGAAGCATAACAAAACAATTCCAGAATAAAATACACCAAGATTTACGTGAAAAAACCCGAGAATGGAAAAAAAACATGGAGCCACACTACCAGAAAATTTCACATGAAGAATTATAAATATACAGTGATACACGCTCAAATCAACTCTCTGCAAATACATAAACTTACATAGCTTCACTCCAAACCCTTTCTCTCAATCTCACAAGAGAAAGCCCTCGTTGAAATCCTCCTTCTCAACTCTTTTTTGTTTCATCCTTCATCCCTCAAATCGAAGCTTAAGAATTGAAACCAAGAACAACTGCCTCGGTGATCTAACTGCACCACCACCAGATGTAATTATTCTGCTCGCTCGGGAAGAAAGACCTGGAACAAAGCCAATACGGCGTGGTTATGCCTCTTTGGGCGTGGTTAAACCATTTGATAACCTTTGGATCGACGTAACTATGTTGATTTGACTTAATTACGCTTTGCAGAAGATCATCTTGATGGTTGTGGGAGCTTCTTAGGCTCCATATCCTCAACAACATGCTTGTAAATCTTCCTATCTTTTATTTTCAAAAGAAATCAAGAACGCCATTGCTAAATTATTTACGTGCGTAATGTGCTCTCAAGTGTCAAGTGAACAATCTACTTGGTACAAGCCATTAAGCAATCAATTATTAAAGCATTCAAAGTACCCCATATGTTTATCATCTTTTCTCCCTTTTTCCATTTTTAATAAATTTATCTCATCTCATTTGTGAGCTTACTTATCATTTGCCACACCCTTTCATCAGAAAAGTTTGGATTGACACATGATAATAAATAGCAGCAACAACCTATTTATGCATTGTAACAATTTTTTTTTTATTGCTGATTTGAAGATATTGATTGGGTCTGCATTTCTTAATTTTGAGTACTCCTACAGTCATCACTTTATGCATAGTATATGTTGCAATGGACATGTAATATTTGTTTTTGGCTTTATTTGTATTTCTTTCATTTTAAACAAACATATTTACTGCTTACTTTTCCCTCTATTCTATATTTCTTTGTACTCCAATTTCTGCTGCAGGTTTCCATCCCAATCATTCCAACTGTGAGAATGATCATTACATTCACCAAATACATCAGTCTCCAACCATCAGAACAGTTTTTCACACCTCTTTCAAGCCCGAGGCATCTTCCAGCCCCGGAAGAGAGAGATCAAAGTAAATCAGAGAGCATGAACCCAAAGTCATGGCTGAAATGGGGCAGCAGTTCTTCAACTAAATCTTCCGTTTCACGATCAAAAATGGTTAACACGCAGATGGATGAGCATGTGGATCCATTTATTATCCCGAGCGATTACAAGTGGGTGAGTACCAAAGACAAAAGCCATAGGATAAAGACAACTAAGTCAAAAAAAGGGAAGCAAAAGGAGATTTGGTGAATGGAATATGGATAAAGCTTCGTCTTCCCCATTCTATTAACTTCTTGAGGGGACCATGCTGTTTATAACATTTTACTTAGTATAGCTTGGAGTCTGCAAACATGGAGATAATATAGGCTGACTAGATGGAAAGGAGAAGTTAGAACCCGAAATGGATTTGGGCGTTGTAAAAGGGTGTTGGTAGTTTGGTAAAAAAAAAAAAAAAAAAGAACTTTTCTTACGTAATTGTTGTCTAAATAGTTTAGGGAATATGTTTTTGTTGTAATTTTGAATGATATTTTATTGGCCAGGAAGAAGGGAGTTTGCAAATTTTGGCTGATGTCGTGCTTGAATTCGACCAAATTTTAGTCAATACAAAATCAAATTCATGCTCGATCCGAATTTGTTTCTGGATCTAAATTGAGTTCTTAGATTGATTCAATTTGAATTTACTCAATTCTTGTTTCCAAGTTTAAGTCAATTAGTACTTTGTTTTCGTTCAATTGTATATGTAATAATTAAAAGCATGATATTAATAAAAAATTGTGCTTGTGTAAAAGAAACAACAAATAATATTAAGTGCATGTTGTGCTGCATGTGTCAGATTTTAGGTACTTGCGTACTCTTGTATAATATATATGTTTCAGCCAATCATACCTGGTTAACCGTCATCATGCTTTGATAAATAAAAATTTGATCTTCATGGGCTTTTGTTTCCCTCCTAAATACATATTCATGTATAAGAATTACTTGAATCATTATGTTGATTTTCACGATACTGTTGTTCATGCCATTAATATGCATGTTGAACGAGATCCTATTTTTGCCCTAGGGAATAAATTGAAGATTGTTAAAAAAGCTCTTTTAAGTGCTAATTTGGCCTTTCATAAGTACATACTTAAGGCCTGTTTGGGGTGGTTTATTGTTGCTTTTGTGTTTTTTAAAACAGGATTTATGTGTTTGTTTCGTGTGTTTCGCCTACTTATCCCAAATGCCGCTCACATTTTATTATTTACACGGCCGCGGGCTGGACCTCGTGGCCTGCGTTCTTACCTTTCGGAGTTAACGCGCTTTTAATCTCATTAAGGATTTGTAGATCTCTCAAAAGGACATTCATTCTACTTTGAATGCTCGGCCTCTTTCTAAAATTTTCCTTTCTCAAAGCAATCAAATTCAGAATATGTTTATTGAAGCTACTTTTTGTGAAACTCTTGGATTAAGCAAAGCCCAAAGTATTATTGGTTCTATAAAGGAGAGAATGATACAACATTTTTCTGTCGAAAAATTGAAAGTAGAAGCGATAAAAAGTTTTTTAAAGAGTTATTTCAAATAATGAGAGTGTGATACTCAACTTGGCATTGTCAAAGAGAGTATTTCTTAACTTTTTACCTTGCTTAATTACAGCTCTACCTCTTCTCTTAATGCCCTTATGCAAATTCCTGTGGCCAGCTTCTTATTCAGGAAAAGATTGATATGCTACTTGTTGATTTCACAAATGAAGATCTCAATAAAGCCTTTTTTTCATATTGAAATTGATAAGTCCCTTGGGGTAATCCAACATGCCTCTGATACCAAAATGGATTAATATACGATCGCTGAATTGGGGTCACACAGAACTTAATGCCAGAAATGAAAACAAGAAATGAAAGATATATTAATGAAAACCCTTACAAAAGACTGATATCACACTGAAGAGTAGACTTCGAGAGCTCTTCCCGTCTGTCTGCATCTTCCTCTTAAACTCTATTTATAGGCAAACTAAAAGAAAACCAATCGACAGTGGTTGAGAAAATAGTAAGCTTTCCAGCTCACGGACTCAATAAGATATAGTAAAGCAAACACACGTCACCGAAAGGAAAGATTACTTTCAGCTTTACAGTTCACAGACTCAATAATATATAATAAAGCAAACCCATTCCACCGAAAGGAAAGATTCCTTTCAGCTTTACAATATAATCGTACGCCTAGAAATAATTCTTGTGAGTCAACAGTGACCCACCATTTGCTCCCATGTGAAGCTAAATTGAATTATTCAAGCTCTTATTTGTGACGTCAACAATGATGTTTGTAAGATTGGCCAGTTGTTGTTCCATACGGTAACAGTATGGTGAAACAACTGCCCAAGCATTCCCCTTTGTAGACATGCTTCGACTGTATCTGGTTTTATTCTCAAGTATAGCTTGTAGAATACGTAACTCGTCCAGTACTTTCATCACTTGTTCTTCCTCGATTCGTCTGGCGGCCTTTTGAAGCTTGTCGTGTGCGTCCAAGGTGATGGGGTGGTCATGCGTTGCCTAGAGGAGATCCCAGTGACGATCATTTGCTTCCTTTGGATGGAGACTTGAAATGTCTGATCCAACTGCCTTGAAAAACTTCTTTCCATAAATTTTCGGTGGTTGCTGCTACCGTCCATTCTTCTAAATCTGTAAAAATAAAACGAACAAATTCTTCTTCTTCAGGACCTACAAAGAACAAACGTTAGTCTTGAGAGCGCGTCGGCAATGATATTGTTTTTGTCGTCGATATTTTCAAAGTTCACAATGATCCCCAAGTCATTGATATAATCTGTAAATGAAAGTCATCGAACACGTGAAGACTTATTTTGAGTCATTTTGTGATAAAAAGATATAATAGTTTGGCAATCTGTTCTGAGAGTGATTTTTTTTTTGTCAAAAAAATGGATTTTTAAAGAATTTAATGTTTCCATACATGCATGGATTTCGACATCGATTGTTGACTTTAGAGTGGGAAGTTTCCCACCAGCGTAGGCACAAATTCGTTCTGTGCTCCTTGAATTGTTTTTCCGTTGCTTTCACTTGTACTTTCCCCCCCCCCCCCCATCCTTCCAGGCACCCGTCAGTTTCAAGGATAATATATGCGTCTTCCGTGGGTATCCTAGGTCCGACAAGTTATGAACTAATTCTTTGATCTTCTTTACGAGAGCCCAGTTGTGCTCCTTCATGTGTTTATCACCGTGCAGTGACATTTTTTGATATAATGGCCCAAGTAGTGTACCTAAATTAGGTATGTATGCTCGTGCATAGTTTAGTATGCCCAGTCATGATCGTAGGCCATGTTTTTATCTAAGTTTTGCGTCAGGAAAATCGACAATCTTTTTGATGGTGTGCGGCTATAATTCGATACGCTTGTTGCCAATGACTGCACCTAAGAAGTCAATCTTTAGTGTCGCAATTTTCATTTTGGATGTTGATAGTACTAACCCTTCCGCTTCTACTATTTTTAGGAATTTTTCCAGATGCACTTTATGCTCCTGTTCAGAGTTATTAAATAGTAATATATCATAAATATAGACAATTAAAAAGTTAGAGCAATTCCAAAAACAATGGTCCATTTTTCTTTGAAAAATTGCCGGTGCACTTTTAAGGCCGAATAGCTTGACAAGCCATTCATATAGTCCAGAAGGAACTATGAATGCAGTTCATTCAATAGAATCAGGATGCATAGCAACCTGGTGAAAATCGCTCTTTAAATCAAATTTGAAGTATATTTTGCTATTACCAATCTTCTTGAGAAGTGCATTGATCCCTGGTAGCGAATACTGGTCTTTTTATGTGTTGTCATTTAACGATCGGTAGTTGAACACCAGCCGCTCCTTTCCATTTATTTCTCTAACAGTTTTAGGATCAAATAAGGTTCCGAAGTTGAAAATCATCGACATAGTTCTATGCCGACTTTTGTTTGGCCTGATTACCTTTAATGCGAGTAACCCATCAATATGTCTTTTGAACTGCTCTTGCATTGCTGGCGTTACATGTTTCAGAGGCTTATCATGTATTGTCAGATCAGGATTGATAATATCAAGTCTGCATACGACTTGATTTTTACTCCAATGTTTTAAGGGATCCTCACCAATAAATCCATTGTCTTGTAATCGCCGGAATATTGTTCGGAATTTTTGGATAAATGGATTTTCTTCATTCATTATATTTGAATATACCCATTCTGGTTGCATTTCTAGATAAAAACCATAATTCATTCCTAGTTCTGGGATTTGTTTGGCAGCAATTTCAAGCTCGGTTGTTGTGTTTACATGTGTAATTTTTTTATAGAAGGTCACCGTGTTCCCATCTATTCGTACTCCACCATTTAGACTTCGTATGAAATTACATCCGAGTAGTATTTGTATTTCGTCTTTTGTATCCATATCAAGACAATAGATGAGAGGAATACGGAAGCTATGTTTGTTTATTAACATAGTTCCTGCTTTTATCTTTTTATTTGCATTTGTTATAAAATTTACGCTGCTAAAAGATACCTAGTAATTTAATTCTTCAAGTGTCGAACCTGGCACATCATTGATGTTTACACAACATGATGTTGCGTCTGTGTCAACTATGGCTCGTAGACTGAAACGTGTGACACCTGGTACATCAAACGAAATGATTAGATTAAATAGTCAGTTGATCGTTTTCTCGGTTTTGGGTTTGTCCTTTGACTGCTTACTTCAAGAGACCTTTCACGGGTTTTGGGTTTGTCCTTTGACTGCTTACTTCAAGATTTTTGCACCAAGGTCGTCGCTTGGCTCTCCATCCAGTTGCCCTTCGTCACTTTCTTCAATTCTTAGTTGTTTGGCCTTATCATGTAGAAGTAATTCTTGCCTTGCTTCTTCGAATTGTGATTCAAGAAGTTCCTGCAATCGCTGCTGTAATTTGCGGTTTTCTTCGACCAAGTGGTCCGAGTATTTTAGTAGTTCTTGGATCAATGTGTCTTTGGATTGGTATGGTTGGAGAATTATCTCCTTCTGAATAGAAATTGTGAGGTAAAAGTTAGAACATAACGGGCATACAGTTAACTTGCATACAGGGCAATGTATGCGTATATGTATGTTTGTAGTAATACATCAATAAATGCATCGCGTATAAGGCCCTTGTATGGGCTTATTGTGTTCCCTTATGTGTGAACAATTCTCCTAATCGTCGCGTAGTTGGATGACGCATCGCCATCCTAAATCTTCTTTCATTATGTCTCCAATTTCTTTGGATGTTAGATTTTCTAGGGCTTGTTTAACGTGAGTCAGAGTCTTTCACTCATTCTCCTTCGGAGATGCTACAGATTGCATCTGACTGTTCTTCATCCAGATCAACTGAAAGAATATCATAATCATCAAGAAGATCCAGGTTATTTAGTATGGTGACCCTGGCCATATTTCCTCGTTTGTTTTTGCATTCTCGAGCAAAGTGACCCTCTTCACCACATATGTAACATCGGCATTTAGTGGATCTTGGTTTGTTCTTATTCTTGATTACCCGTTGGTGAAATGGGTCAAACCACATCAAACTCATTAAGTATTTCTTAATCATCACAAAATTACCTAATACTATCTATAAAGTCATTGTTATGCTAATTACTTATAAGCTTAAAGTTATCCTTCCTAGCTTCATCCACTCATCTCAAGTTGTTTTTCTTTCAGCAAGTTATATAGTCGATAATATCACATTGGCTAAAGAATTATTGCAATGTTTTCAATTCTGTCAGCCATCCCAAATGCTTTTCTTCTAAAATGCTTCTTAAGAAAGACTTTGATTCAGTCAACCAAAACTTCATTCACAAAAGGCTGAAAAACATGAGATCTCCAAAGTTTGTTTGATAGATCAAAGCATTCTTTTTATGACATTTCTAACATGCAAGCCAACCTCACAAAATACACTATTTATTTATCTAAATTTGTTAATGATTTGCTCAAGTAGAATTGTAGCTGAATTCTTGGTTTTCAAGAGAAATTACTCCCTTTGGTGCATTTGAGGATAACTATCAATTCTACTAAGCTTAATTTCATTACCTGTCACAAGCTTATGCATAGGAATCTCTATTTGAGTGGCTGGAAACAAAAAAATTCTTACTTTTGCAGGCAGATTTCAAGTCATTAGAACCACTATTTAGAACTTCCTCCAATATTAGTTTAGATCTACCACCATCCCAAAAACATTAAGAAATGTATTTTGTAAGAATCGAAATATATTTTCACCTTTTTCTCTTCTTTCCTTCCTTGCTCGTTGCTTCACCGACTTCCTAAACCGCGACGCTTTCCTCTTTCTTCTCCCGCTTGAACTTGTCACCCTCCTTTTCTTCGCTTAGATAGAGACGACCGTGGGCTAGGGGAACCTCACCACTCCCTCCTCTCGATCTTCTTCCTCCCTCTCTCCCGACTTCGCTGACCGAACCCCGTCGATACTATCGCGAATGGATCTAGATGTGAAAGTAAAGTGGGATCGCGATGTACATCGACCCGGAAATCCCATCTTCTTCTTCCTTCCATCGCTTCTACCCGAAACCATCTGGGAAGGTAACCCCCGTCCGTCTCTTCCTTCCTATCTGGCGCATGCATTAGCTTCTCTGGATGCCTGG